GGCTATCTTAGCCTCCACACCTTTCGCCCACCCCCCATCTATAGGGCGGACCGGGTATCTGCCACCGGGGTCCGCCGTCACGGCCTGGTGGGCATTTTCTCCTTCTGACTCGTCCTCGCGGGCGTGCCTGTCTGCATCGCCTACCCAGCCCCACTCCGAGCCTCGGTCTTGGGGTGCGATCCTCCTGTTGCCCACGCTGGCATCGGCCACGGGTTTCTCGCGTCGCCTCGGGCCATGATGAGGGAAACAAGCCTCGAGGGACGAAGGCCCTACATTGTTAGCCTTGCGGCCAGCGCGAACGGCCTTTTGCGTGGGCGGGGTCGAGTGGGCCCGCCGGACGCCAATAGGAACGCCTCGTCCTCCGTCGGGGGGCGGGATCCGCTGTCCCGCGTCGGAGACTGGCGCCCTCAGGAACCGGCTTTGGGATCCCATGATCGTCTTTGGGAATTGGGCGTATCACACAGTATGACGTGGTAACGTGTTTGAGAACATGGCTCTTTGTCGCGGACCACACAGACGATGCAAATGATGGTTTTAATGAAATCGGGTCCACCATAAACCGAACAAGCAAATAAGGATGATAGAGGTAACTATACTATGCTAAGAACACAAGGCCCAGATTCCCTGACCCACTATCAAGCCCAACAATGAGCCCAACTTGATGACGAGCGATTGACGCTATCCAAGATCGAGCTCGCAACCGCTTGCCTTTCGCTTGGGGATCCTTACCACTTCCTCTACTCCTCTCACCTTTTATACTGGACGAGGGACCCTTCGGACCAACCATTTGGACGGCAACTGCGCCCCTCTCGCGCACATCTCGCGTCGCACGCGCACTCGTGTCCACGCAACCAACGCCTCCCCGACCCAGGTTCACCTCACGAATGGCAGCCACCCCTCTGTACGCCCGTACGCACGAGCAGCCACCACCTTCCGCGTGCCACGCACGCGAGCCACCGCCATGATGCACGCATGTGAGCCACCGCCACCCAGCATGCATGCGACCGTGTAGCACGCGAACCGCCACCACCTTGCATGCATGCGACCACACGCGAGCCGCTGCCACCCTGCGTGTACCCCATACGACGTTGTCGCCCACGCCCATGGGCTCATTCACTAGCTCCTTCCTCTTGGGCCTGCACCCCTTATGCCCACGGACTCAGGCCCAGCTCATTATATATATATATATATATATATATATATATATATATATATATATATATATATATATAATATATATATATATATATATATATATATATATATATATATATATATCTTTGTGTATATGTTGGGAAATCAAAATAATTTTTTTAAACAGAAAAATTCATATAGAGAAATAAAGGTGTTAGCTTGATCATATGGGAGCGCGTGCAATATACGTGTATGACGACTTAATTTAAGCGTTAAAAGAAATTAAAAGTAAATTTATTATAAAAAATATAATTTTAAAAAGAAATTTAGTAACTTAAAGATTCAATAGCAATCATAAGCTTTTACACATCCCATTACGTCTATGAGCAAAATGGGCAGCAATGAAAGGCATTTCAGCAATCCTTTTGTCACGGATCCTATAAATTAAAACAACATTATATACTTAATAAGCTAATGAGAGAGAAAAAATGAAGAATGAAATAAAAAATGAGAGAATATAAAATCTTTTAATTGTATTAACGCATCAAGTGGGAATGTGTAGTGCATACGCCCACTAAGCGCGCGACGCAAACTAGTACCTCTATCTTTTTTTTTTAATTATAAATTTTAATCAGAATATCTCTTGTTAAGGTTTGGTCCATTTGTTGTTTGGAATGAGAATTTTTTGCAGTCAAACAGCGTCATGGAACATCATTGTGTTGTAGTTTATTAGTTGTTTCTTTGTTTCATCATCCAATACACCAAATCCATACTTTTCTTTCAACATTTTGCCTTTTTTTTTTTTGGTGCAAATGGAATGATTAGTTTCTCAGTATAGTAGCAATGTGCCTGCAGAATATATATATCACCGTTATGCATGTCATATATGTTGGGAAATCAAATAATGTTTTCTATTTTAAAAAGAAAAGATTCATATAGTGAAATAAAGGTGTTAGCTTGGTCATATGGGAGCGCGTGCAATATGCGTGTATGACGACTTAATTTAAGCGAGAAAGGAAATTAAAAGTAAATTACTTATAAAAATATAATTTTAAAAAGAAATTAAGTAACTTACATATTTAATAGCAATCATAAGCTTTCTACACATTCCTTTACGTCTATGAGTAAAATGGGCAACAATGAAAGTCATTTCAGCAATCTTTTTGTCATCGATCCTATGAATTAAAACAACATTATATACTTAATAAGCTGAGAGAGAGAAAAAAAAAAGGGAAGAAAGAAATAAAAAATGGGAAAAAAAATAAAATCTTTTAATTGTATTAACACACACAGTGGGCATGTGTAGTACATAGACCCACTAAGCACTGCTGGTGCGCGCGACGCGCACTAGCACCTCTATCTTTTTTTAAAAAAAAAAATTTATAAATTTTAATCAAAATATCTCTTGTTAATGTTTGGTCGATTTGTTGTTTGGAAGGAGGATTTTTTGCAGTCTAATAGCGTCATGGAACATTAATTTATTGAATTTGTCGCCTGGTTTATTTTTCTACAAACCCTAGAATTTGGGGGCAGTGGCTATTGAATCAGACCGGCGGCCAAATCCGACAACGGCAACATCTCTATCTCCTCTTCCGCCTTCACGTCTTGCATCGCCAGAACCTTGACCACCATCTTAAGGATGCTTATGGGACGATGATCCATGGACTATCCCGTCTGAAATCCTCGTTGCCCAAGTCGAAGCTGGCAGATTTCGTCGCCTTGGGGACCGCCCCGACGCCATGGACAAGAGGTCAGTATTGGAGAAGAGGCCAACGAAGATGACATGAGTATTTACATTATTGTCCTTCATTTAGACGGTGGCTTCACGGTCAAAGATTCGAAGGACGAAATCATAGTCGAGGACCAAATCAGTAGTTTCGCAATAGTCGAAAGACCAAATTGGTTATTAACATATTACGTCCATAATTAAACGAAATTAAACATACACATTATTTTATTAAGAATAATATATATACTCCTTAATTACCGTAGTTATTCTGATTACATGGACGTCATAATAATTATCATAATATTAATTAAGAATAATATATACTCCATAATTAATTATCATATAGTAATCATAATAAAACGACCTTATTTTTATTGGAATTAATGATAAATTTCCTGCCCACATAGGAAATTAAACATACACATATTACGGTGGGCAATTAAAGAAAAATAAACATACATATATTATGTCCATAATTAAATAAATTAAATATACACATATTACGTCCATTTTACCAACCAATATTTAACACTTTAATCTTACTATGGTAATTTAACATAGAGATTCCCTTTATTTAATTATAGTATATTTTTGTTACTTAAAATATATAATATCAATTAGTCATACTCTTCCTTCTATTTTTTGTTTAGACTTTTCCTAATATAATTTTTTAGTAATCAATTGCAAGAACACTAATATACAAATCTTATAATTTCAAATAAATGTACACTTTCAAATATTAAAATTCTTTATAATTTCATCATTAATTTTATTATTTAAATGAGTTAATACCATCTAAGGTCCTCCAAGTATAATGATTTTGTCACGGTTAGTCATAAACTTTCAAATTGACCATCTATGGTCCTTCGACTTTCAAATTTAACCATTCGTGATCCAAGTTAACCACCCATGGTCCTTCAACTATTAAATTTTAACCAATCATTAGAGGACCCCGCCTAGTTAAATTTCGAAACTTGAAGGACCATTGGTGGTTAACTTGGACCACAAATGGCTAAATTTGAAAATCGAATAACCACAGATGGTTAATTTGAAAGTTTAGAACTAAACGTGGCAAAACCACTATACTCGGAGGACCCCATGTGGCATTAACTCTTATTTAAATATATAATAAAAAATTTATCTGTGCATCGCACAAGTGATTTACCAGTTAAACCTTAAAGGGTCAAACCCACAACCTCCCAAATAAAGGAGTAACTTGGTGCCACTAGACTACAAGGTCCTTGGCGATTAGATTTACTCCTTTGTTGTATTAAGATACAACTTTTGAGCTAGAAAACATTTTTCTTCATATGTTCTTCATTTGTTTTTTTTTTTTTTTTTTTTTTTTTACAGACAACTAAGGAAGTACTAGAATCTATTCATATTCCTAGTCGACAAAAACCGTAAGAGTGGATTATAGAGTAGCTTCCTTAGAGTAACTACAATAGTTACATTGTTTCGATTAGGTTTGTGTCCAACAAGGAGAGAGAAGTAGAAAAAAAGTGTGAAAAAAGTATATGAAAAATATCACAATCAAAATGAATTAAAATTTTAATTGTATTAACGCACTGAGCAGGCATGTGCATTGCACGCGCCAATCAATAGCACCAGTAGCTACTGGTGAAATCATCTGATCAATCATTTGACTCCAATTCCACGCTCATGGTAATTCAAACCAAATTGAATACAATCATAATTCAAATAAAATTGGAAACAATCAAGACCATAACATGCAACATCTCTCTATCCTACATACTTATTACTCTCATATATAGTAGGAACAAGAATGTGTAGTGTGGCTCATATGTGCTCTACTCTTTTAGCAACAACATATTTTCAAAGAATATACCATATAATCAAAGAATTAATACACAATATGAAGCAAATCTCTAACATAACCTTGCATGATCACAACCTAATGAGTTCAAGACAGTTCTTCTTTGACTTTCAATGAAATATTTTTCTTCTTTTTCTTCATTATCAAACACTTCTTCTTCAATTCATCAATTGCTCCAATCCTTCAATTCATATATATTCAATTAGCTAAGCATAATTTCAACTGAAGTGAAAGAATCCATAGCCAATAGGCAATTAGTTTAAATTTTATTATTTTCAACTTTTTTGAAAACCCAAAAATTCAAACTTCATATTAAAGCAACACTGAAATAAAAGATGGGGGAGAACCTCCCAGTACATAGACTCAGACTGATCACTAACTGTTTTTGCCAAAACATGGGCAACCAATTCACAAAACAACTAATATGACAAAACTCTAAAGAAACAAAAGAATTACGTAAAGAAAGACAAGAATGAATAACAGAGCCAACATAAGTTCTATCAATACAATCCCCTTTTAAAGCTAGCACGAACTAAATTAAGACAATCAGAAATCATTCGTATCACCTCCACAGTTCAAGCTTTGGTCTAGGAAAGTGCTTCCTTACCGCGCTAGAAGAGAATTATATACACAGTCCAATAATGGTCCATTAGTTGCTGCCACAAACACCCCATGCAGGTCAAATAAACACGACCCATACTCTGCCTTAGCCACTGCAGCCGTGAAACCAGCAGTAGTAGCTTAGTCATTTGTTGCAAGGAAGGAGGATCTTTTGTAGTTTAATAGCGTCATGAAACATCAATGCATTGTAGTTTATTAGATGTTTCTTTGTTTCATCATCTAATACAATAAATCCATACTTTTTCTTCCAACTTTCTGTCTTTTCTGGTGCAGATGGAATGATTAGTTTCTCTATATTAAGGTAGCAAAGTACCTGCAAAATAAATATATCACCGTTAAGCATGTCATATATGTTGGGAAATCAAAATAATATATATATATTTTTTAAAAAACATTCATATAGAGAAATAAAGGTGTAAGTTTGGTCATACCGGAGCACGTGCAATATGCGTGTATGACGGCTTAATTTAAGCGAGAAAAGGAAATTAAAAGTAAATTACTTATAAAAATATAATTTTAAAGATAAATTAAATAAATTACAGATTCAATAGCAATCATAAGCTTTCTACACATCCCTTTACGTCTATGAGCAAAATGGGGAGCAATGAAAGGCATTTCAGCAATCCTTTTGTCATGGATCCTATAAATTAAAACAACATTATATATACATAAAAGCTTCAATATTTGAATTATGTGATATAACATATATAGCTGAGGTGGGGGAGAGAGATTCTCATTAATATGATAAGAATTTCACATTGTGTAAAGTAACTTCGCATTCTCTTAAACCAAAGAAGATCATATATATGTTCAAATGTTTACATTTTAGAGATTATGTGATTTACTATGAACCAAATTGACACATATATAACAAATATATATATATACCATGTTTGATGATTATTAATTACCTTAGAGCTGCAACACAAACTATTTCCCCATTTGTTTCTAAGACAGCGGTGTAGAAGCCTTTGAAGTCAATTCTATTGAAATTTGAACTGCAAAAGTTTAAATGAAACAGATCAGAAGGTGTCTATCACTATATATATGTCAATATAATGTCATAATTCAAAAATGAAATTTCTTTTCTAACTTTAGATTCATGATATATGTTATAGAAATTTCTATAGTGTCTAGCTAATACATACCCACAGTTGTAAATGACGTTTTTGATAACGTTAATTTTTGTGTAGCTATCAATGACTTGTCCGAAAGAATCCTCCATTAATCTCCAGGCAACAGCGAGCTTGGAGTGACAAATTGTTATTTCATAATCTTCATCTATGTACACACCGTGCTGATGATCTAACTGACGGAGTAATGTCCATGAATACCCTTCTTCCAATTCATTCTTTAATCCTAACAATGTTTTCTCCAATTCCACAGAAACCTTATTTGCAACAAAAACATAAAATAAATCATTAAAATCTATAAATGAACTAGACACACAAAAAAGAGTCAAGGAAAATGATATATGTAGAGTATAACTCTTGTCACGTGTACAAATTTTATTGGGTAAAGAAAAATGAATGATCTAATAAAAACAAGGGCCCAATTAATTTGTTGTTTAAATGAATATATGTATACATATATAAATAGGAAAGCTCACCTCTATGCAATTCTGGTCACAGTAAAGAGCATGAGGGAGCATGTTTAGATCAAGTTCTCTTTCTTCCAACCCTTGACAGCACTTCAAATGATCTGCAGTTCAATAACAATGAAAATTTTGTTTAACTTATAATTTTGGTAATGAGAGTAAATCAAACATATACTCCTACAAACATAAACAAACACTACGAAACAAGAAATTTGTAACGAAATAAGAAACAAAGGTTGAAAATGCAAAATGGTGCAAATGAGGCGAGTGTGGAGGCATCTGTAAACTGATTGAAATTTCAAACGTTGAATTGAATCGGCAGAAAAGAAATTGAATATGAAACGAGATTTCACCCTTTCGGCATGGCTTCGATCTTCGGTGAGAGGAGATGGAGCCCTAGAAAAGCTCATAGAAAGCGACCGCCTGCAGTCTCGTGTCGCTCATAGAAAGCGATTGAAACGTGTCGCTCACAAATAATCAATTAAATCAGCGGTTAAGGGAGAAGAGTTGAGACTTCCTTGAACTAAAATCCAGGCAAACTTATGAAATATTTAGTGGCGGTTAGAAAAAACCGCCGCAAGTAATGACTGCTAATAATTAATTATTTAGATTTATAATCTCACTAACAACTAATTATTTAGGTTCCTTATATTAAATTAGCGGCGGTTTCTATAACCGCCTCAAAATAGTTATTTAGAGGCGGTTATGTATAACCGCCGCTAAACACATGTCGCTAAATAGCCAATTTGTTGTAGTGCATTGACTTTATTTAATTGCTTACATTTCCTGCCACATTGATGGCATTTGTTCATCAAATCATAATCCATTTCTCCACAGAACTTGCAGATACAATATGGACAATACCATGAACCCTCTGGAACCTCCTGAAATTGGTGAACAAAAAAAAAAAGTTATATATTTGCTTGATGTTAGGATCAAACACTTACCACTATTTCAAAAACTATAATTAGTAGTGAAGACGCAACTTTATTTCTTTATAGACAACTATCACATATTTAAGAGTTAGGATGTTGGACTTGACTAATTACCAGTCTCTGTCCAACAATTCCCCTAGCCACATAGTTTGGACTTGGCCCTTTATCAATGTTGATCAAATTAAACAATTCTCCTAGCCAAATGGTGTTGGACTTGACCCTTTAATTTATCAGTCTTAGTCCAACAATTCCTCTAGCCACATATGTGGTGTTGGACTTGAGTACTTGACCCTTTACTAGCCTAGGTGAGGCCAACAATTCCCCTAGTCACATGGCACTGGACTTGGCTCTTTAATTACCAGCCTTCGTCCAACAATTTCTCTAATCATATGGTGTTGGACTTGACCATTTACTAACCCAGACAATTTCCCTCAATACATAGTGCTTGACTTGGCCCTTTTTGGCTTCCGCCCCACACTTGAAAAAGAGATAATAAGAGTAGAAAGAAATAATATTTGTTTTGGATCGATCTCTAACTATCTCACCGTAATATCCATGCAGGGCTGATGATAGGTTGACCTACAGCCGTCGCAGCAGAGGAGATCACCACCAATGGTACAAACAATGCACCCAGCATCATGCCTATCCTCTGCACTGATAAACTTCGTCTCACGATTCTCGCGCTCACTAGGATCACGCAACGCCTCATCCATACACGACAACATAGATTTTCTCGAACCACCTGCGGCGATGAGGATTCTGTCGTAATAACGCTCTTGATCTGACGAGGTTCCTCCCGCGTGAGCGTGAAAATCTTCTGGTGTCAGTGTTTTTTTGCAGCAACTACACAATATCCCCTCCCTCTTTATCTTCCCTTTCTTTATCATGTTCCTTTCATCCATGGCGGATATAACCATAACTTCTCCGTTTTCTTCAACTACTGTTTGAGAGTCAATGAGCCATGAAAGGATGGTTGCAGGTTTCAACGATGACGATGGCTTGCTGATATTCCTCCTACAACGTAAACGGACCCTTGAAGCTTCAGGATTCGTTTCATCACAGTTTTCACTCGCGGAACGGTGGAGCTTGCGTCTCACGTAATTAATCAAGAATCGTATATCCTGAGAATATATATGAAAATTATATATATATATATATATATATATATATATATATATATATATATATACTATATACTAATAAGAGCCCAAGAGAGTTAGGCCTATAATGGGTAGAAAAAATGGCGGTCACAGATTTTAATCAAATGAATGACTCAGATTGATTAAAAGATTGATAAGATTTCAATTTTACACTAAAATTTCCTAAAATACCCACACACCAGTTACTAATTCTGTTAAAATTTTATGAATTGTCGTTAGTTCACCGTTAACTTACTCATTGATTTCAATAAAAAAAGATCTTAGGTTCGAACCTCATCCCAATCAAAGTTGGCATAATTAGTAATCTATTTTACTCTTATTAAATTATAAGATATAAATAATAATTTAGTAGTTACAACAAAAAATAGTACATATGCATTTCTTTAATTTAGAATTATATGTCCACAATGTCTTTATTCAAAAAAAAATTATTCATTATCAATAAATTAAATAAGATAAATAATTTTATTAGTTATATTGTCTTTATTTTTCTTCAATATAAAAATTCTTTATATTCAAATTTATTAATTGATTATATTCGCTAAATTGTCCTTACAATGTCTTTATTCCGTAAAAACAAATTATTAATTATCAATAAATTAATTAAAAGAAATATTTTCATTAGTTATATTGTCTTTATTTTTCTCAAATGTAAAAATTTTTACATTCAAATTCATCAATTGATTATATTCACTATATTATCTATTATCTTTTTTGTGCACTATTTTTCTAATTAAATATCAAAGTTATAACATAAAATAATGCTATGTATTTATTTACCAAGTATTTTATTAATACCATGAAAAAAATAAAAAAATATAATTAATAAAGCCAACCATATTAACTACTTGAGAGATTTTGTGACAAAGAGAGTATTCAAATCACACAACAAATTGAAGTGAGAACTACCTCGCAATGTCCTTGTTTGACAATCAGCAGTTAGCGGTTAGCGTTAGCGGATTATACTAGCGGATTTGGCCAGCGAATTTATTTAATTATTAACATTAGGTAGAAAAAATGACCGCCAAATTATTAAATCAAATGAATGGTTCATATTGTTCAGGTTTTAATTTTTTTCTTTTAAGATTTTCTAATTTATCCTTAATTATATGATAGTCCATTTAACTTTACCGTTAATTCACCGTTAGTCTAATTCTAATATTAAAGTCTAATATAGAATTATAACTACACCATTAATCTAATTCTAATATTAAAGTCTTAATAGAACTTAACCACAAATCCTAATGTCGGAATCTCCTCAAACAATATTAGTATATATTTAATATTTTATGCCCTAATTTTTATTTGTTCTCCCTTATGTCCCTATTTGGTTTCAATCATACCTATATAATTATTTTATTGACAATTATAATCAATATTGACTATATTATCTTGCATTTGTAAACTTAGAATTACCTATTTAACCCGCACGGGCTTAGCTCAATGGTTTAGTGGGTAGTATTTGGGAGAAGAGACCAATGTTTGAACCTCGGCGGTGGCAATGCGGGAATTATGTCCAAAGTGGGCAGATTCCTTGTGCGTATCAGCATTTGGCCCTGTATGCTGAACCATTGAGTCACCGTGATTTACAACTTCCCACAATGCTCTGTCGGATCGGAGTGTGGGGGGGCCCTTGGGGTTGGGGACTCAACCTTTGGGAGAAGAATTACCTATTTAAATACGCAAATTCAACCTTCAATTATCTATGCATGAACAATTTCAATATAATCTTGCCTTAATATATTTTAAAGTACTTATTTAAAAAAAAAAAATATTGGGCATTATCCCAATCGCGCAATGCGCGTAAAAAACTAGTATATATATATATATATATATATATATATATATATATATATATATATATATATATATATATATATATATATATATATAAGAGCACAAGAGAGTTAGGCCTATAATGGGTAGAAAAAATGGCGGTCAAATTTTTTTAATCAAATGAATGGCTCAAATTGATTAGATTTTAATTTTTCATTAAGATTTCCTAATTTATCCTTAATGAATATGATTTTCCGTTAACTTTTCCGTTAAATATTACCTTTTCTGTTAATTTCTGTTTGTTCACTGTTAACATACTCATTGTTTAAATAAGAAAGGTCTTAGGTTCGAACCCCATCCCAATCAAAGTTGGCATAATTAGTACTCTATTTTACTCTTATTAAATTAAAAATAATAATTTAGTAGCTACAACAAAAAATAATACATATGCATTTCATTAATTTAGAATTATGTGTCTACAATGTCTTTATTCAAAAAAAAAAATTATTAATTATCAATAAATTAAATAAGAGAAATAATTTCATTAGTTATATTGTATTTATTTTTCTCCAATATAAAAATTCTTTACATTCAAATTCATCAATTGATTATATTCGCTACATTGTCCCTACATGTCTTTATTAAAAATAATTATTCATTATCAATAAATTAATTAAGAGAAATAATTTTATTAGTTATATTGTCTATATATTTTTCCAATGTAAAAATTCTTTACATTCAAATTCATCAATTGATTATATTCACTTCTTTGTGTATTATATTTTTTGTGCACTATTTTTTAATTAAATATCAAAGTTATAATACAAAATAATGTTATATATTTATTTACCAAGTATTTTACTAATACCATGAAAAAATTTAAAAAATATAATTAATAAAGTCAATCATATTAACTACTTGAGGGATTTGTTGACAAAGGGAGTGATTCAAATTACACAACAAATTGATTCAAAACTAACAAAATTACCGTTGTCATCATCCTCAATCGCATCTCTATAATCTTCCATAAAAACTAAACCATTAGGGTTCTGTTACCAAGACTCTTCCTCCTCAATTTTCTTTTGTTGAAGCAGATCCTCCTTAAGTATCTTCAAACTCATACCAGACGATATAAATTGCAAAACATATTGAAGTACGGTGGAATATAGTTAGAAGAAGGTAGAAAATTCATACGAAAAGAAAGCAAAGAGATGAGTCTGAGAAGCCCTACCCATGTCCCATGTGGAGAAAGAAATGATTGGGAGGGTAGGGATTAAAAGAATTATAAATTTGTATTTATACGATGGAAAATACTAATTCAAAAGGAAAGTATAAAAATTTATTTATTTAAGTTAACATCATCATCATCATCATCATCATCATCATCATCATCATCATCATCATCATCATCATCATCATCATCATCATCATTATTATATATAATATTAAATATTAAATATTATATATATACACACACACACACACACTAATAAGAGCCAATAAAGTTATGTCCATGTTTTTAGTGCTAACCACTTTGTACATTGTGCTTTACTGCTTTTAGAGTTATACTATAGAATTTTTTTTGGACAAAAAATTCTTTATCGTTAAAATTTGTTAGTTATTTTTTAAAATATAAATATTGGGCATATGTTTGTGCACATAAAAAAGACTATATATATATATATATATATATATATATATATATATATATAGACAATGTCCACATCCCATTGCCTCCAATTGAACAAGTATACACATCATTCTCAAAATTTTATTAACACATGAAAACTTCTAAAGAAATTTGTAATTTAATTTTTACCATATCATTATAACAATATCTATTGTAATCATAAATTTCAAATTATTTATTATCATCCTCTATTGACAGCAATTGTCGTTAACAAACTCCCAAAACAATTTGTCTCAACAACGAATTGAAAATAAAAAATCAGTGACTTCATTATATTATTGTGGATTAAAAGTAATTATCTCACTCTATTACTATTATTAAATTAAATAAATTAGTAGCTACAACAAAAATAATTCATATACATTTCTTCAATTTAGAATTAGATGTCTACAATGCCTTTAGTTTTAAAAAAATTATTCATTATCAAAAAAGTTAATATATATATATATATATATATATATATATATATATATATATATAATTTCATTAGTTATATTATATTTATTTTCTACAATGCAAAGAATCCTTACCTTCAAATTCAGTAATTAATTATATTCACTATACTGTCCATTTGTTTTCTTTTTGCACTATCTTGTAATTAAATATAAAAGTTATAATAATGCAAAATATGGTTATATATTTATTTACCAAGTATTTTTATAATACCATAAAAAAACAGTTTGAAGTCAATCATATTAACTACTTAAAAAGGATTTGTTGATAAATATGGTATTCAAATAATTCAAGAAATTGAAGCGGCAAACTACCTCTTAATATCTCTGGATTACATCACTAACGAAGGACTGCAGCGCACGTGACAAGGAGGTAGAAGGCATCCTGCATAAGTCTTTACCAGTAGATGAAAATTGCATAAAGGGCATTAGAGTAATCTCCCCCACGTGACTATTATAACAGTCTTTCCCTCCTGTACAATGCATTTACCCCATGTATATATATATCTAGTGTGTAAAACCATGCTTAAGTCTTCTTGAATAATATCTTCAGTTCGCTTCTCTCACCATTCATGTAACTGCTTTTTGATATGGAATCAGAGCAGCGCTCTTACGCCGCCGCCACCGTCTCAGGCACCGGTGAATCCAACCAAGGAGCACAACCCCTTCCACGATGATTCCGCAAAGGAATATGCCTTCACAGACACAGAGACACCTTAGTGCTGAGGAGTTGGAGAATCCTCTCCTTTTCAGCGTCAATGATAACCCCTGTGCAGTGTTGGTCAGTCCACCATTGGCAGGGAGCACAAACTATAGAACCTGGAGCATATTTATGCGAATAGCTCTCGAAGTGAAGAACAAATGGAGCCTCAATGGGAGCATCACGCCGCTGAGCAGAGATCAATTTCAATATGCGGCCTGGAGACGTTGTAATTTGGTGATATGTTCCTGGCTGTTCGAATCTGTTCATCACTCCTTAGCACATAGTGTTATGCACTTTGACAAGGCTAAAGACGTATGGGAGGATCTGAGAAGGAGATTCACGCAACATGATGCTCAACGTATCTCTGGATTATAGAGTGAGATCTATGGCCTGTGACAGGGAACGATGAGCATGAATGACTACTACACCAAATGCAGGACACTCTGGGAGGAAATGAACACCTTGAGACCAATTCCTCTCTGCAAATGTGATCCAAGATGCTCATGCGATTTTGTCGATCAAATCCGAACAGAACGAGACATTGATAAGGTGATTAGGTTCTTACAAGGTCTCAATGATGATTACAATGGTTTGAAGTCCATTGTGCTTGTCTTAAATCCATTGCCTGAGCTCTACAAAGTATTCGTTATGGATGAAAAATTGGAAAGACAAATTACTTTGAACAATCTGAATCTAGACATTCTAGATGTTAGCAATGCTAATGCTATACAAGTTGAGCAAGGTCATGCATCTGATGAGCTAGTTGCTGCTTCTTTAAACTCTAACAATGGTAGACGAAGTGGTAATACGAAAGCTAAATGCACATTTTGTGGAATGACGGGGCATACTGTAGACAAATGCTACATGAAACACGGTTATCCCCGGGATGGGTTACCGGGGTACAAGTCAAAAGGCGAGCAACAACAAACCACTGTAGCAGTGATGAACATGGGGGATCAGAGAATAACTTCAGAACAATTGCAGAAGATCATCTCCATTCTGCAACCCCAGGCCAGCCAAACTTCGGGCCAAGCACCAGTGTTGTAGTGTCCTTAATCCCCAACTTCAATGAGCTGCAATCCAATGATAAAGGCAAGTATCCCATAACTCTTTGTTAATTCTCTTTCCATATGTCAGTCTTCTTGGATTCTTGATTCAGGGGCAACTAATCATATTGTCTGCTCCATAGATTTCCTTGTTGATTATCATGAGGCTACTGGAACCGAGGTCAATCTACCTACTGGCCAAACCATTGAAGTCAAACACATAGGGAATATGAAGCTAAATGACAATCTATGGCTGAAAGAAGCTCTCCACATCCCTTCATTTAAATTCAACATCATTTCGGTCAATAAGCTCATTCAAGATACAAGCTGCACACTGATTTATATGCTTGGATAGTGTTTAACCATAACTTCTCCGTTTTCTTCAACTACTGTTTGAGAGTCAATGAGCCATGAAAGGATGGTTGCAGGTTTCAACGATGACGATGGCTTGCTGATATTCCTCCTACAACGTAAACGGACCCTTGAAGCTTCAGGTTTCGTTTCATCACAGTTTTCACTCGCGGAGCGGTGGCACTTGCGTCTCACGTTAGGAACTGCCGCCTCTGCAGAAGAAGGTGCAGTGGCAAATCAAATATTTTAATTAGAATATGAATGGATAAATTAAAGCTTCGATAATATCATACCGATTCTATATATCATTTTCCTTTTTCCAACATAAGAAACAACTTATTAATCAAATACATTGCAATAAAATTCTCTATATTCATTAATTATTTTAAAAATAATGAAACCACTTATTAATCAAATACAAAATAATTATTAAAAATATTTATTTACATAGTAACCCATCAGTACATAGCTAGGTCATTAATATGATCAAAATACTAATGTATTAAAAGACATTTCAGAAACTTCATATTTTTAGTGATAAAATCATGTACACAACCATATATACCTGATGTTGTATGCTGTGCAGGTTCTTGATTAGTATCCCTAATGGGAGGAGCATTAAGGTTTGAATAATGTCTTCTAGACGACAACCTTATTAGTTGATAATCAGGGTCTTTAGTTCTGTCATCATCAGATGATGATGAGTCATTGGATGATACTCTACCACTTTCCCTTTGTTGCCTCCCTCTACTTGAATTCTCAGCCATCATATATTGCTTTCTATATCTGCTTCAAATCAAAAAAAAATAAAAAAAAATAAAAAAAAAATAAAAATAAAAAGAGGGTAAAATTTCACTAAACTATAAAAAGGGAGTAATTGCACTTTATGTCCCTGATTTAAAAGATAATCGTGAATTTAGTTCATATGTTATAGTATCACAAGTTTTAGGGTTCTTGTTGGATTGTCAATAAAGTGACATTTTCAGACCTTCTATATATCAAAAATTTGCCATTATTATTTGAAACAAATAATATGATTTTTCCTTTTACTTATCTTTTTTCATCAAAGTCACACTCCAACTTTACCATTCACTTGCCAGAGTTGCAAAAATATATTTTTTTTTTTTGCCAAACCTTAACAATCGGAACAAAAGCGTCACTTCATTGACAAGCCAAGAATAGAAAGTAGTGATGCTCTTAACACAACAAAAAGTTTTGACAGATCCAATCCATTAAAATATTTATATATCTACAGTGAAGTTGGAAGAGATTACCAAGTGTGCAGCTAAACCATGCACAACAATTCGTTTACACCAATGTGAGTTTTGTGCAGAGAAATCTAAAAATGATAATTGACATATCTGATATCAATAATATATTCAAGGGAAAATTGTAAAAAATGCTCCTCTATAATATGTCAATTATCAATGTCACCCCTGAATTATGAGTGGTGTAAATGTTGCCCCTAAATGTTTCACCAATGTGAGTTTTGTGCAGAGAACTTTAATTTTTTGTTTTTTTTTTTAATAAATATATTAATAGTTTTAGCAGGTTTAAACATGTTTCGTGTCATATCGTGTCGACACGACACAAAGTCTATTAACAAAACGTGTCTGATGGTTTTAGGGTTTTCGGGCCCAAGGAGGTCCAACACAACCTTCGGCTGGTGGGTGCACCTTTCGATAAAGTGTATGTCTATTTCGGAGATTATGCTAGTACTCGGAACTCTTTTTCGTATTCTCCCCTCCTTGGGTGTCTAATTGTCCCCCTTTTACAAGAATGGAGGAGCCTTTATATAGTGGCTCCCCCTCTTCCGACTTGAAGGCCTTTGATGTCCGACTTCATGGCTAATTAAGATACGGAGCCGTTGGATGCCATTACTCGGTCGACCAACGGCTCTCTCAAGATTGTAACGGCCTGACCGTGTCCGGCTTTCAATGTCTCAACGGCTCCCTTTTTAAACGAGCCTCTTCAATGCTCTCAACGGCTCCTTGAGCCGAGTCCTTTCCTGGGCTTGGGCCTCGGTCGACTCCTTGTCTCGGCCTAAGCTCCTACCGGACTCCTCTTGGCAGCTCGGAACTGGGCCCCATGCTTGGGCCTGGGCCAACTCCCGGACTCGGCCCAATTGTTCTTCGGGCTCCTCTCGACGCTGGCCCACTTCTCCTATCTATTTCCTTTGGGCCCCCATACCTTGGGCCGGGGTCCTCACCCCATCAACTAGTCCCTCACTTTTCCACACCCGGTCCGCTAGCCTAGGTTTGGAAAAGTAGCAACTGTTCATCCCTCTCAATCATCGTATCTTCGTCGTAAATATCTTTTGGTAACGTCTGGATCCTCAGCCATCTCCTCCGGATTTCGCGGGGCCGTTTGGATTCTTCCGTCTAAACTTGGCCCCTATAAATGGCGTCCTTCCTTTTCTTTCACCTTCTCAAGTCTATCATGGGTCGTTCTCCTATGAAAGGAAAACGGATTGACTTCGGGTCTCCTTGGCGTCCGTTGCCCTCCAAGCGGACTCGGCCTGAACGAGAACACGGGAAGAAGACTCCTCGCCCAGCCCCTCAGAGGTCTCCTGCCGGCGCTATGTCCTCAGCTTCTCAGCCGCCGACTCCTTCTCGACGCGAGGTCGCTCCGCCATCACGCCATCCGCCTACTCCCACGACTGCCCGAGTGACTTCTCAAGATGGGTCCTTTGTTGAGGTGGCGGTTCCAGAGCAACTCACTTTCAAAATGACCTTCTCGATTCCGCTGGACGACCTGGACGGGCCGGTTACGGGCCTGATGAATGACGAGGATTACGCCCGCTACCTAGAGATGTATCCGGATGACGAGGAGCCGATTGCGCCACCACTCATGCCAGCTTTCTGGGACTCGTTCTGCCCATCCCCGCCTGGACCATCGGGGGGGTTCTTTGGGGGCGACTCCTTCTCGCCTGGCGAGTGATCGTATGTACCGGAGTCGGCCATAGTTCGGAGGGATTTCTTTTAGGAGCATTTTCATATTTCCCATTGTAATAAGCTCCTTGCCATTTGTATCCTCCTTTTTGCAATAATAATAAATGCTATCCTTGCCTTATGTCTTGTCGTGTTCTATTACGTACTCATCTGGACGACTGGTCAAGGGGTCGGTCACGTCATCGAAATCTTTTCGGTCTGACACCTGCAAGATTCCCCATATCCTGGCGAATCCACTTTTTCCTGCATTGGCGTGCGAATCTCGCTCTTCTCGGGCGGATCTGATGGAACTAATCTCTGACAGAGATTCGCGTCATCCGTCTAATCCGGCTCAGTTATGTCAGTTATAATCTCCTCCGCGATCATCGTCTAGGTATTTGCCTTTGCTGAGCTATATAAAGGCCCTTTACAGCTGATGCAAATCGCAACATTCTCCACTTCGCGAAGGTACGGCGCTATGAGTTATATGGACGGTGATCGCCGCTGGTCCATTCGTAACAAGGAGCATGCTCGTCTGGAGCAACTGAGGCAGAAAAGGTTGGCTAACGGGGGTCGTTTGGTGGGCGACTCGGCCTCCGACCCCATCGTGGTGCTTCCAGACATGCTGGACCTGATGTGCAGGGAACCCATTGACGTGGAGACGGAATCTGGGGTGGAGATGGAGCCGGTGGTGGAAGATCCCGAACCAATGGTGGAAGAGAAGTGGGAGGCTCCTCCCCTCTTCGGCGTGGCCATGTCGCCGAGCGCTCTGGAGAGGCCTTTGCAAATGATCGATAACGGGAAGCCCGCCGTGTACCTGGACGAAATGCCTGAGCCTGAGCCGAGTCCTCTGCCTTTCCGCTCTCAATACCTCCTGGAAGGCCCTCTGACCGCTAGCCCGTCGACAGAGAAAGAAGCCAAGCCTTGACTCGTTTTTTCTCTTGTAATCTGCATCGGCCGAGTGTTGGGCCTTGTAATCTTCGTACTAATTAAATAAATTGTGTGTTTTTCTGTCCGACCCCGCATCTCCTTAGTATTTTGTCGTCCGACCTCTGGCCTATGGGACTGATTCCTAGCCCTGCTATGGCGAGACCCTCCTGGTGAGGGAGTCGGCAAGTCTGATTGCCGACCTGGTTACGGGAGTCTTTTCGTGAACTCGGCTGATATCATTCGATGAGCCGGGTTCTACCGGGTCATTCTAGAAGCTCCCAGCTCGTATCATATGGGCCCAGAGGCCATGGCCCACTACGGGCTTCCGGCTTAGCAGGCCGGGTCACTTAACGTTCGACCCTAGCCTAGGACAGACGCGCCGTCTGTGGGCTAACCCTAGGCCTGAACCGTCGCCCCGCCTTTTGAGGTATTAAATGCGGCGTCCCTTCACGTCTCGTCACCTCCTCTTCCTTCAACGAGAAGGTGGCACGTGGTCGTCCTTTGAAATTCCTCCCCTTTAAATAGCCATTTCGCCTCTCCTTCCCTTTTCTTCTCCAGTCTTTCTTCTCAGCTTCAACTTTGAGCTTCTCCGGCCACTCAATATTTCCTCCGATCTCTCTCCTGACTTAGGTAATGTCTTCTTCCTCACATTCTTCTTCTTCTCGTCGTTACTCGGTCGATAACCTTGAGACGACCTCTCCCTCTTCGTCTTCTCCTTCTTCGTCTTCTTCTTCTCCTCCCCGTCGTATGGAACTTCCGGCGGACGTTCCATCGACATCTTCTCTTCCAC